TACTCAGGGGTACTGGTTGCCCTATATGTAGAAAAATATTAAAGCCTATGTCAAAAAGTGTGAGAAGTGTCAGAGGTTTGCAGCTTTAATATACCAACCAGCAGCAGACTTAAACCCAGTGTCCAGTCCTTGGCCATTTGCCCAATAGGGCATGGATCTTGTTGGACAACTCCCCCAGGCAACTGGGCAGAGAAAATTGCTCATAGGGCCATTACTCAGCGGTACTGGTTGCCCTATATGTAGAAAAATACTAAAGCCTATGTCAAAAAGTGTGAGAAGTGTCAGAGGTTTGCAGCTTTAATATACCAACCAGCAGCAGACTTAAACCCAGTGTCCAGTCCTTGGCCATTTGCCCAATAGGGCATGGATCTTGTTGGATAACTGCCTCAAGCAACTGGACAAAGAAAGTTCCTGCTAGTGGCAACAGATTACTTCACCAAGTGGGTTGAAGCTGAACCCCTTGCAAAGATTCGAGACATTGATGTAAACAACTTCATATGGAAGAACATCATCATCAGGTTTGGGATCCTAAGAGCAATAATAGCAGACAATGGAATACAGTTTGACAATAAGCTAATCAAAAGCTTCTGTACAAAGTACAAGATCAAGAATTACTATTCCACCCCAAGTTTTCCTTAAAGCAATGGACAAGCAGAAGCATCCAACAAAGTTATCTTGGATGGGATCAAGAAGAAGCTGGAAGCAGCAAAAGGAAAGTGGGTGGGTGAATTGCCCAGTGTACTCTGGGCATATCGGACTACGCCAAGAAGATCAACTGGGGAATTCCCATTTGCCATGGCTTATGGCACAAAGGTAGTAATTCCACTAGAGGTCGGCATCCCAGGGATCAGAACCTAAGGAGTAGAGAATGAACCTAATGATACATTTTTAGCCCGAGATCTGGACTTACTGGAAGAAAGAAGGGAGAAAGTAGCAATTCAGCTAGGGGCATACCAGCAGTAACTTGCCAAGGCTTACAATAAAAAGGTCAACCCACGAAAGTAGTTGGGGACCTCGTCTTGAAAAAAGTCGTCGGCAACAAGAAGGATCCCAGGGAAGGCAAGCTTGGCCCAAATTGAGAAGGTCCTTATAGAATCATCTCGGTCCTAGGTAATGGGGCATATCGGCTTGAAGACAGTGAAGGCAAAGAATTGCCAAGACCTTGGAATACTTGCAACCTGACGTTTTTCTATCATTAAGATTTCCTTTTGTTTTTAAGCTTTTCTGTTATTAGCCGAAGTAATTAATAAAATCTTAGCTCGATTTTTGATCTCAAACTTGTGTAAAACAACTGACCAGTCACCTAGCGATGTTTTTGATTGAAACATGACGAATGACTTAGACTTTTTATATGGCAGAGTTGAATTATACTTGCATATAATAGAGTTGAACTAAGTTGGCGATGTTTCTGATTGAAACATGACGAATGACTTAGACTTATTATAAGGCAGAGTTGAATTATACTTGCATATAATAGAGCTGAACTAAGTTGGTGATGTTTCTGATTGAAACATGACGAATAACTTAGACTTTTTATATGGCAGAGTTGAATTATACTTGCATATAATAGAGTTGAACTAAGTCGGCGATGTTTCTGATTGAAACACGATGAATGACTTAGACTTATTATATGGCAGAGTTGAATTATACTTGCATATAATAGAGTTAAACTAAGTCGGCGATGTTTCTGATTGAAACATGAAGAATAACTTAGACTTATTATATGGCAGAGTTGAATTATACTTGCATATAATAGAGTTGAACTAAGATTTGCTGTATTGACAGAATGAAAACTTTGAAGGACACTAAATACATATCAGTTAGATTAACAGAGACCGAGGTTGATATCCTCGGCCAGTCTCTGTTTGAATTTGATCTCGGCCACAAAATCATAGGAACATACTTAATGTGAACATAAGTGAAACTTAAGTTCACATTAGGGGGCAGAGAGTTGGAGAATAATGCTTGGAAGTTGGAATTTACATGCTAAAGTTGGTTTAACACTTGTTGAAATTTTAAGAAAAATTTACAAGTTGAAGTATAGCGATCCCGGTTTTCCCTTTCTGTATTTATTGGTTTTCCCTTTCTGTATTTATTATTTTTCGGACTTTGGTTCCATGATGTTGGTGGTTTTATACCTTGTTGTCATCCTTTAATTCTGCATGTTTGAGTTTTAGGATGTATTGGGCAGGGTTGTTGCAGGTTGGTTAGGCCTTGGTTTCAATTCCTTGTTGTCCAGTTTTTAGAAGGTCCGCTCGAGCGAGTCTTCTTGCGCTCAAGCAGAGATTGCACACTCCCAGTATTTTGGTGCTCTGCAAAACTTCTGCATGTGTGATTTTTACGCTCGAATAGATTTCCTGTGCTCGAGCAGGTCACGCTCAAGCGGGTAGTACATTTTTTGTGTGAGTTTTGGGAGAGGAAAATCTACGCTCAAGCGGACTGGTTTTCGTGCTCGAGCGGATGTACTTTATTCTTGTGTCTTGGTGCTCAAGCGGGCCTTCTTGAGCTCGAGCGAACCTAGTTTTTGTTCTTGACGCTCGAGCGTTGTGTCTTCCGCGGGAGCGGGAATCTCGTATAACAGAGGGTAGCTGGGCATTTTTGAATCATTTTTCTACACTTCCTCTCTCTCTCTTACTTTTCCAAAAACGATTTTGAGAGCCTCTCTCTCTAGAAACTCCCTTCTTTCTCTAGGGTTTGATCTAGTTATAGTGCTTTCCTTTCCTTCAGCCTTTGTAAAAGTTGGGTTAATCATCGAGGGCTTCGTTTTGATCTGAAAAGTTTGGAGTTTGGAGCATTTTGGTTTTGGTCTCTTCTCTCCTTTGTAGCTCCGAATTTGAGGTAGGGATTCCTACTCACTCTTATGCGTTTTGACCTAGATACTGAGTTTTTGTATAAATGGTTTTGGGTTTTGGAAACTAGGGTTTCAAATGCATAATTTTGAAAATAGGGTTTTGTTCATTTTGGACCACAAACGTGTATTTGGGTTTCAAAATGAGTATGTTGATGTTGTTGGTAATATTTGGACTCTTGGAGTCAATATTAAGAATAAGGGGAATTATGCCATGTTTGGGTATATTTGGGTCATTAGTGTAATTAATGACATTTGTTGAGAAAATATGGAATTGAGTTGAATATAATGAAATTGGTTCATTATGAGATGGATTAGTGAAGTTGAAATTATTAATCGCTCACTTTTGGAAATATGGATATTTTATCTATTGATGCTTTTATTATCTGTTTAGAAATAATTGCTTTGGGCTACCGGTGGAGGGTAGTCTTGATTGTTATAGACAATGCATGATGATTAAGTAAACGAAAACTAATCAATTGAATATGTCATAGAGAATGACGGTTGATAGAATACATTTAATTTTGTATTGTTTGATTGTATATGACCTATGTGTATATACGATGTGTTGTGTGGGAGGAGATAGGGGATGTACTCCATGGTTTAGGAAAAGATAGGGGATGCACCTCTAAACTGGATATTGTTTGGGAGGAGATAAGGGATAGACTCCATTGATTCAGCTCATATGCTTATCAGTTAATGTGATGATATAGCTCATATGCTTATCTATAAAAGTGTTGATATAGCTCGTATGCTTATCTGTTGAAGTGTGGATACAGCTCATATACTTATCTGTTGAGATGTTGATATAGCTTATATGCTTGTCTATCGAAGTGTTGATATAGCTAGTATGTTTATCTATTGTGAAGTGGGAAATGTTTAATATGAGTCACTATCTCACGTAAATTGTTAGCCAGGTTCTGAGCCGGAGTTGTGAATTGTGAACTTGATAAGAAATGGAAAATGAAATGAAACACGGACACATGTGTCATGTAATGAAAGTGGTGCATGAATTGGTTTAAGAGAGTCAAACATTTATAAATTGCTAATGTCTTAGTTACTGATCATATTGTGTTTAGCATATCTCTACTGGGTGTTGGCTCACCCTATATGGGACATCACATTTAGGTACAGGTAGCATGCCACCTCCAAGGACGTAGTTTGGGAGGCTTGGGACTGTTGAACCGTTTTGTGTTTTGGTTGTATTACATGTAGATCAAGCCAAGGGCTTTCATTGTATAGAGCTCGTGCTTTTTTTTTTTGTAACCAAGTGTTGACTTGGAAAGTTGTAAGTCTTTAGGGCATTTACCTTTTGTTGTCAACATGTAATACATTTTGTAAGGATTACTCTAATGGAATACAATTATGCTTTATCTTCTTATGTCTAAGCATGCTATTGTTGGTTGATTTATGGGTTTATTTTGAGGGCATTACATGAAGTTAAACCAAGGTTATGTTAAAAGAAAGTTGGTTTAACACTTATTGAAATTTTAAGAAAAATTCACAAGTTGAAGTTAAGTCGAGGTTATGTTGAAAGGAAATTGGTTTAACACTTGTTAAAATTTTAAGGAAAATTTACAAGTTGAAGTTAAACCAAGGTTATGTTATAAGAAAGTTGGTTTAAACACTTGATAAAATTTTAAAAACAATTTACAAGTTGAAGTTAAGCCAAAGTTACTTTTAAAGAAGTATCTACGCATTTGTTGAGATTACCATGTTACCAAGATTCGAAAAATAATGGAAGACAGAAAGAAAGTGAAGTGGCATGTTTTAGATAAACACTTGTGAAAATTTCTTTACAATGTATTTCAAGTATCAAAGATAAAGCCAAAACAAACAACACAGTGGGTATATCTGAGGTATTTTACCCCGAGGAGATTGCACAGTTAAGATGTACTCTGAAGACATGCAAAATATTCTAAGTATTGAAGTACACAAGATAGTAAAAGAAAGACAAGCATTCAAACACTTAGTAAAAGCAAGAGGAAGTTGTACTTGTATTAATAGAAGAAAAAGGGCACTACGGCCTAACAAAGAGATTACTTGTTCTGATTATAAAAGTGGCACGTCGGCTAAATATGGAAACTGAAAACATTTGTTCAGAAAATTACTAAGCACAAAGAAAGAGTCAAAAAGCAAAAACTACTCGGCGTCAGTAACGGGCCGTTTCTCGGCCCCAGAAGACAACAATTTCCTCGGCGGCCTTCTCAGCCTCGAGTTCAACGTCGATCTCTCGAAGAGATTGATCAATGCCCCTTTCGACGATTGGCACCTCGAATGTTGTCCTCTGGGATGAGGCACCTTTGGAGACCTCACCATCCTCATCCAAAGTCAAGTCTAAGACTTGCTCATTCATAGTTGGGGACTTGGCCCCAGCTTCTTCAGCCTTCTCAGACTTATCGGCCTCAGCTTCCTCCTCGGACTCAGCCTCGTCCTCAGATTGGCTTAGAGTAAAGGGGAATGGCAGGACGAGTCGGCTACCATCTTTAAGAGGGGAGTCCTCGGGGATAGCCAACTCCTTTAAAGCGGCCATCCAACCAAGGGTGAAACCCTTGTTGCATGCCTGTTTCACTTGCTTCTTGTAGTCCTCACGGACGTCGGCTACCCCCTCGACGCATGTTTTCTCATCCGCTACCTTGATCTCGGCGTCCTTTGTGGCCAAGGCTGCAATGACCTCGACTTGGGCTTTGGTAGTCTTTGCGTCGGCCTCTTTTTTCTCGGTCTCATGCACCTTAGCAATGGCCTCAGCAGCGCCCACCCTCTCATCGGCCTCTTCTTGGGCTTGTTTTGCTGCCTTGGCTTGATCCATCAAAGTCTTCATCTTGGCCTCGGCCTTATTAATACTTTTCAGTAAGTTTGCAGCCTCTTTGGCCTTGTTGACCAACTCTTTCTTGATGTCAAAAGCTTGTATCGCGAAGGAGTAGGTGTGCTGGATCGCCTAGAAGAAATGGATAAAACAAAAATTAGTAAAAAATTCTCTAAGCATGGAAAAGCAAAAGATGAAAAATACCAAGTGTTAGGGGCTTACTTTTACGGAGTGATGCAACATCATAGTGAAATTTTCATATTCGCTGACCTCGGCGTTGCGGTCAAGGTCTTTGGGAAGGAGCAAGGCAATAGAGAGGACAACACCGTCTTCGATATCATCGGCGCTGTCACCAGCTCTGACTGGTTTGTCCTCAATTGTGATTGAGGGGGCCTAGGGGGCATCAGATTTGAGAGAACCCGAGGTGGCCATAGAGTCCGACCTCGGCCTCTTTGACTTAGTGGATTCAGATGGTTCAACCTCGGCGGCGGAGGAGGTCTTCTCGCCCTCGGCTAGTTTTGAAATTTGCAAGGTATCCTCAGTGTCAATCTGAGTCACCATTGCCTTAGGTTGGGCTTTCTTCAGCCTCTTTGGTTTTGGTTTGGGTTGAGATTGGGAAGATAAAGATTGGACGGCGACAACATTCGGGATGTCGGCCAGAAGATCATCAGCAACTGCCTTCTTGCAACCCATTTCATCGGGGAAGAGATGGCAACAGTAACTCTAGTGCCAAGTCTGATGCTGGTACAGCTATTGGTGGGTTAGCTGGATCGTAAAAGGATGCCTCGGCACTTTGGCATCTTCGGCTTCGGGTCCTGCCTGCCGATGCAAACAATGGAGCTTGACACCGGCGTTGGCGTTGAGAAGATGGGATTAGTTGTTGAGCAAAGGTTGATGGTTGTTCCACAGGACCAGATGTTGATCCTTGGTCAGGCCTTGATGATTCGACTTGAGGAGTTGTTACTGATGGAGGAGACTTGCTTTTCTTTTTTCTTGGGACGTCGGGAAGTACAGAGTTATACGTCAGGATAAAGTTGAGCAACAAAGAAGCCTTGCGCTGATTAACAGGCAAGTCCAACAACTTCTTAAAATCTTTACTAGGAAAGAAGTTTTTGCGGAAGTCCTTTGGGAGCTAAGGAAGAACTACAAAATAAAACCAAACAGACGTTAGAACATACAAAAATATTCAAGTAAAAAAGACTTGAAAGCGAGTAAAAGTAACACTTGGCTCTTACCATCTCCCTCTCTGAACAGTGTACGGCTTAAAGGGTACAGGTGGAGATCGTCATTTAGAAGGAACTCCCAGTTGCCCGAGACGATGAAATAATCGTCCCCGACTCCCTTGTTGGAATTAGGGAGGTCAGCAATGAGTTTGTATTCTATTGACCTCGACTTAAGGTAGTAAATATAGCATTTTTCTGACTTAAGGCCGCACATGATGTAGCAGTACTGGATGTCAACAAGGGTAACCCTAGCATTCTCTCTTTTGGCTAAGACAATTACACCATTGATAACTCGGTAGAAGTTAATGGCAAGCTGCATTGGGTTCAGTTTGTAGTAGTGTAGGACTTCTAGGAAGAGAATATCGAGAGGAAGCCTAAGTCCACATTCTATGAAGGCTACGACTGGAAAAGGCATGGAGTCGTCCTTGGGTATAATGGAGTCCTCTTCTCCAGCCAACCTAAGGTGGACATTGGCAGGGATGGCGAACTCCTACCCGAAATATTCTAGCTTAATTGGGGTGTCTACCTTCCACCTCCACATACCCATGACGTCGGCTTAAGGGGAAAAGTATTGGATTGCAAAAAAAAGTGGTTTGTTAGGGTTTTAAGGACCTCGGTAAAACCTAAACGATTGCTGGGGCAAGGGTTTTTTAGGATCTAAACGAAATTTGTTTCAATTTTTCCTAGAGCTTGGAGTTCTAAAGCAAATCCCAATCCTAGAGTTACTAAAACAGGAGGGTTTAAGGCAAGAATCTGGAAAAAAAAATAGCAAGAAAATATAAAAGAATAGAGATTCAAACTCAAGAAAAACAGAAGGGGTTCAAGGACATTGCATGAAAGACAAATGTGCATAAGAACAAGAACAGTGACAAGCTATCAAGAATGTCAAAGTGTATGACAACATGTGCGTGTGTATATAAGCAAACAAGATTATACAAAATCAGAATCATGAAACAGATGGCGAATGGGGGAAATCAACACACAAGTAGCAAATTAAGAGCATGAATAAAAACACCATGGCAGTGTACAAGCATAACAGTTTGAAGCAAAACAAGAAATTGGAATAAGAGGAGTAGTGGCTTACCGAGAAAAATAAGGCCGGTGTGAAGTACGCCAGTGTCAGATGGTGGCAGTGAGCAAAGAAGTGCAACAAAAGCCTCCCCGGAGGGGGAGAACAGAGTAGTTGCAGAGAGCTTAGGGAAGAAGACAATGGCAGTTTTAGAGAGAGAGAGCTTGAAGCACAGAGATAGAAATCAAAAAATGTAAAGTGAAAAGACAAAGAAAGAGGAAGTGTTTTTGTCAAAACACGAAAAGGTGGCAAATCACAATTAGTATGCCTAGGACGAAGTGCTTGCCAGATGGCGCATGCAAGTGCAACGTGACTTGATGGCGCATGTCAAGTACAGTTCGATAGGAAAGGGACGCGTGGCAAAAACGATTGAAATACCGTGCGTGACAGCTCATACGCGTGATGAAACTCTTGAGGTCCTTGATTTAATGAAGCAAAGACCTCGGCTAGGGGACGATCTCGGCTAAATAACTTGAACAAACTTGGTTAACTTGTTCTGAAGTATTAGTGAAAACAGATTACAAGTCTTGGTCATATGGGGCCGACAAATGATGACCTTGGTAACAAATGATAGAGCAAGTTTAGCCGACGTGCTATGGGTTCAAATGATATAAGTTCCATCACCTCAGGATGCCGAGGTAATAGAACCTAGGGGACAGTTGTGGAGACATATTTTTTGGATAGCAACACGTGGCCAAAGTGGCACTGAAGTGCCAGTCGAGGTGCCACGTGTCCTTGACTTGACGCCAAGGTCATCTCAACTAGGCCGAGGTTATCTGCGGAGAAACCGGAATCCGAGATGAGCAGATGAGTTACAAGAGTCTTAGAATGAGGGAGGACTACAGTTTGGATAAGGATAAAGCTCTTAAGGAGTTTATCTTTATCTATTTGAGAGTCCTAGATAGGCATTGAGCCAGAGTCCATTGAAGCTAGGCTTCTACAGGGATCATGTCAGTGTTAGTTATAAAAGTAAGGCACCCTCGTGGGTCTAAGGTACGCTTTTTGTATTCTGAATAGTGAGTTAAGCATTTTTGCTATCTTTGAGAGATAACTAACTTGATCATCAAAGTCCCCCCGAGTGGACGAACTACCACCAGAGTCTTTTTCTTTCTATGACAGGTCGTTTGGGCGCAATCTATTCTGTCAGTGTTCTCCAGCTGAGTACCTATTTGGCAGTGTGGTCAGAAAACAGCACACACAGTGACAAACAAAACATTTAGACAAAAAAAATTATCAAATGGGTCATGTTTTACTTTTTGTAATATATATTTGGGTAAGTTACACTGTCTTTTATGAACGAAATTATAGTTAGTTCCACAATTTTTACATAATTGCACTTGCACTAACATTTCTTTTAGTATGGTTAAAACTGTCGAAACTAATGCCAATGGTCTATGAAACAAGTACCGTATCCATGCCAGTCACACGGATACTTCAAGGACACGCGAACACTTCGGGAACATGTATGAGACAATCCACATGGCATGTCCCCTTATTTAATTAATTTATTTTTAGGGAATATGCCAGGAACACAATAGGGACATGCTGGGTGTTGACACCAAAAAATAATTTTCTGTCGATTATGACTTGTTGATTATGGCCAAGTCTCGTATAATTGATTGTTACATGTCGATTATGACCAAATCTAATCTCATTGATTATAACCCATCGAGTTTGATTCGTCAATTTAAGTCATAAATTATTTTTTAACTGCTTATGGTCATATTTCATCATCATCATCATCATCATCATCATCATCATCATCATCATTATTATTATTATTACTACTATTACTACTACTGCTGCTGCTGCTGCTATTTTTGTGCAATGTGTAGCAGACGTTGGGCATAAAGGTGTTGTGTGCAAAGAACCCACAATGAGCAAAGAAGATGGGAACGTGATTGTGAAGATTTTACTTACAAAGTGAAGCAGTGGAATATAAACTTGATGTGGAAGTTGGCTGCTTACAGCTCTTACAAGAGAAGGACGGTTTGAAGCCTATAAATAGGCAAGGAGGAAATGAAGAAAGGGATCAACAAATCATCAACACTCAACATGAGTTAGAATAGATCTGTAAGAGTAGAATTTCTTTAGGAGTAGTCTATCATCATAAGAGTAGTTTTAACTATAATCATTTTCTGATTCTTGTAATCAGTAAACTTTTTTCTAATTTTTTTGTATTTTTATTTTTGTTCTTATTCAAATCTTTATAACAAGTAACAATTTCAGTAATACAATATCAATTTTTAGTTTGTTTCTCTCTATTGATGACCTCCAAAGAATAAGTCAAAGCATAGGATACTAACCACAATTACTTAATCTGTTTGTTGTTTGTGAAATTTTGGTTTTTCTGTCTAATCCATTTCGTTGATTTGACCAAAACCAAATTTTGCTAACACTAGGAACACACTAAGGATATGTCAAGTAGTCTTTTCTTCTATTTTTTTAATGTTTTTGATGAATGTTGAATAGTGAATGTTTAGGAGCAGTAAAATGAGAAGAAGACAACCACGTTGCTACTCCGACTGTGGATTAAGGGCAAGGCGATTGCACTGTACGGAATTGTATTATAAGAGTGTATCTTCAATCCTTTCTTTAAATCTCTACTATTTATAATTGCAACACATTGTTAGGTTTTATTTTTTATCTATATGTTTTTTTATAAATTTTATATCATTAAAAATTATGTGTCATAATATAAATTATTACCCAATAGGTCCCTATAATATAATTGGTTTAAATATATACATATATATACACACACTATTATATCACTATTATATAAGTAAGAATATTACTGCTTTTTTTCAAATAGTTTTTAATTTAAGATTTTATAAAATAGAAGATATGTAACATTTTTATAGTAGTTGAGATCTTTTAATAGTTTCATAGAGAAATTTTCATTTTTCATAGAGAAATTTTTCTTTAAAGAGAAATTTCATCTCTTCACAGAAAAATTTCTCTAATGAGATGAAATTTCACAAATAATATTGTTGGGGGATCTTAACTAATAAAAAAAAAACATATTTGACCTCTCCTACTATTCAAAGTTAGAGAGAGATATTTTACTAATTTTTTCCTTTTTTAAAATTGAAAATTTAACTTATTTGAATTCAAAATTGTAAGTCTGGTCTCTGTCTCTCTCTCTCTCTCTCTCTAAGCAATTGTATCCAACTTATCACCTATATTGATTTTGATCAACAAGTAGAAGGTTGAAAACTGTATGAGTAAAAGTCTAGACCACATGTTTTCTGAGAGAAATGTCTTCTTCTGAGTTTTGATAAACGATATTGAATGATGAAAATTATTATTAGATAATTGAATTTAGTTTCTTAGATAAAAATTTATTATTAAAGATTCAAATTCAATTGTATATATATACATATATTTTGAGAGGGTAA